AGAGATCGGCATTGACAGGAGTGTGGAGGTCTGTGAGCTAGGCACGTGCCACGGCACTCTACCCCTGGGCAACAAGCGAGACTCGTCGTCAAAAAAAAAAAACCCCAAAACAAACAAAAAACAAAAAAACTTCTGCGACCCCTCAAAGATGCAATGTATTCTTCCACCTGTAAGATGTGGATACAAAATCGCAGGTGGTTCTGAGGATTAAAGTGAGAAACATACGCAACATGACGTTACTGTGAGCCTCTCGCTCTGGGGAGGACACCAGTGGAGCAAAATAAACAATTTACGTCCTCAGGGAGATAATGTACACCGTCAAGAGACAGGAGTATGACAAATGCTATCAGACAGGCAAACCGAGCGCCGTAATGTTTTAACAAGCAGTGGGGAAAAAGGGGACTGCGGGTAAGGGGTGTTGGGGTGCTGGCAGGATGGGGGCCACTCTGTAAATCGGGGTGGGTGTACTGAGGGTATTGTGGAGCGACTTGGCGAGGAGGAGCAGGGAGCTGCACATACCAGGAGCAGCAGTCCCGGCAAGAGGCGAATGGCATCGCACAGCCTGCAGGCAGACACGCATGCAGGTCTTGACGAGCAGCAGGGGACGTGGGGCTGCATCGGCAGAGGAGACGTAAAGAACGAAAGAAAGCCGCAGCAAAAAAAACAGCAAGACATGGGACACAGAACGAAGAGAACAACAAAAAGGCTCGTGGCCAACCCCGCAGCCTTTAATTCTGAGTGAAGGCGGAGCCATTGCAGGGCTAACGACGCTCACGTCTGCCTTCCGAAAGGTCTGCCTCCGGTGCTGCTCTGACAGCAGGTTCGCAGCGATCGGCCAGGGACCCCAGACCAGTGGGGATATCTTAACCGTCCAAGGAAGGCCGAGGACGCGTGGTTGGTCCTCTTCTCTCCCACCCTGCAGTGCGTGTGTGTCATATGTTGTGCGTGTGGACAGTGTATGACCGTGCACGCCTTTGGTGTGCAAGCTCTCACACACATCCCACCAACAGGCGACGACCTACACGGTCTTGGCATCACGCAGGCCATTGCAAGGCTATCAGCTCCACGGCCAATCCTTGCTCCACCTTTGCCCACTTTCCTTCCTCTCAGGATGGCTCTTTGGCGGAAGACAATTCAGACTTGCGTCCATTTCCAAATTCTGGGTCTTCTTGAAGCGTAGACACGACTTGGCCGATCAGAGTGGGAGTAAGGGAGGCGGCGGGGGCGGGTGACAAGGCGCCTACAGTGGTTTTCGTTGGACATGGGGAGGATGGAGGTGTCACCCTGCCTGGCGAGCCCGGGGTGGCCCAGCAGCTGTCGGAGGCGGCTGGAGCTGGACTTCTCCCTGGGCCGCCAGGGTGGACGCTGGAGCGGCTCGACATTCACGGCTGCAGCTCAGGAAGACACAGGTCCAGAGGGGCAAGAAAAAAACATACAGAAGGCCCCCCAGGCATGGCAGGTGGCCCGTGAGTCTGCAGAGCTCGGGACTGGACCGAGTTTACTGGCAGGAGCAGCCACAAGGAGGGGTGGCCAGGAGCTCTGCCTCAACCTCAAACTCCTGGGCTCAAGCGATCCTCCTGCCTCAGCCTCCTGAGTAGCTGGGACTACAGGCATGCACCACCATGCCCAGCTAATTTTTTCTGTATATTTTTAGTTGTCCAGCTAATTTCTTTCTATTTTTAGTAGAGACGGGGTCTTGCTCTTGCTCAGGCTGGTCTGGAACTCCTGAGCTCAAGCGATCCTCCCGCCTCGGCCTCCCAGAGTGCTAGGATTGCAGGCGTGAGCCACCGCGCCCGGCCCACACCTGTTTTCTTGGTGTCGATGAGTAGCACCCACCTCACTCACGAGAACGTCCTGCCCTGGCCCTGGCCTATGCATCACCAGGCAGCCCACCTGCAGGGCCACCTTCGGGGAAGAACCCCGAGCCGGTGGGACCCAGGTGTGACCCAGTGTGTTTTTTTTTGGGGGGGGTGTCCTTGCCGTGTTTGTGAAAGTATCACAAAGGCTTTGGTTCTTGAAAAGAAGAAGGCTGGGTTTCTTTTTTTCCCAAGTGGAAGAAGTTAGGACTTCATACCTAGGCAATTTCACGTTTCTTTTTACAGCATCCTGCTGTTTCACTAGGGAATGAAATACAATGACTGTTAATTTGTGGTTACTTCATCTTTACTTCTTTCTTTCTTTGTCTAGGTTTTATTTGCAACAGATGACTTTTTTGCTCCTGCAGAGAACCTCATAAAGGTATCTTAAAGGGGCGTTCTTCGGCAACGTCCTGGGCCCGTGGAGTGACCTGGGGTGTGGCTCTCGTCACCTGTGCCCGGCGGTCCCGTTCCGTGTGTGGGGCCCACAGAGGAGCACCATTTCTAACTCCGAAGGCGGTGCCCACATGGGGAGGCACCTTTGACCCCGGCGGGCCAGCTGTGTGCGCGGCGGGGGGTGGGGACGCCCCCCGAGCCCCCCAGTGCGTGGCTCCCCTGGCCCCGTGGGCCGAAGGTGGCGCTCGGGTAGCCCAGGCTGTCGCGAGGGTGCTAACGACCCACTTGCTGTACGTGTTCGCCCTAGAGCGATGGCCCAAGTTTTAAAGAACACGAATATACCGAGTTTGGGAAATGGATGGACGGATGGGAGACCAGGAGGAAAAGGACACCAGGTAATAAGGTGACTTGCTCATCCCGGCGCATTCAGCACTGCGGCTGGAAGAACGGCGGCTATTCCGGGTCCATTTTAACTCGGGGCCGCTGGGACGCTCGGCGATCCTGGGTGTCCTCCTCTGAGCATCGGGCCCGAGAGTCAGGGAGGGGTGGCGTGAGCCCGGCCGCCGGCGCAGCACCGGCACAGAGGAGGGTGGACGTGCTTTGCCAGGGAACGAGAGCACCAGTGGGGCCGAGTGAGGAAGGGAAGGTCGGGGGCCTGTGGCGCAGCGTGGCAGGCGGCCTTTGGCCAGTGCAGGCCCAGAGGGTCCTCGCGGCAACCCTCCGCCCCCGGCGTTCTCCTCCCTGTTCGGTCGCCATGGAGACAGATGCGTTGCCTCGGCCCAGCTAGCAAGATAAGCTGGGACTGAAGCCACTGGACCTGTCCTGTGCTCCTGTGCCTTTATGTCCCCTTAAGATGCTGTTTGTATTCATTGCTACTCATCCGTCTCAACCAACATACACCTTTTAGAGGCGACAAAATGCCTAAAAGTGAACTGATGCAGGTAGTAGGCTGATAGCTGGATTTTTGAAAGCGCCTGTCTCAAGTATTACAGAAATATTATTGGGTATTTCTGATTTTCTGAATTTCTGTAGTACTCGAGGCAGCACCAGATTCTAATAAGTCTGGACACTTTAAGGTGTGTCTGTACCTGACAGCAAATAACCAGGAACTGCACAGTGGCACAGGAACTCGGAGACTCCAGGGGCCTTGGCGGTGCCAGGAGGGCGTCCTGGGCGGGTGTCGCGGGACATCCCTGAGGCCTGAGCTGACGGGGCTGGGGTGCACGGGAGAACGGGCTCCGCTCCCCACTGAGCCGGCCCGGGTTTCCTGCGCCATGACGTCACGGCTCGGTTTTATGGAAGCTGACATCACCCCGCAATTTGCCAAGGACGGTCACAGGACAGGGCCGGCTGGCGTCAGGGGCTCTGAGCGCAAGGCCTTGCATTCTGTGGTCTGCCTAGACGCGCGGATTCTTGCCGGACGGTGGTGGTCACCTGCAGCCAGGTCAGCGCGGGCCCAGGTCACGTGAGCGCAGAGTGACCCCGCACACGTTTCTCTGTGCCGGCAGGAGGGCATTCCCGCTAGTGGCTTCAGTTCCGTCCAACCACACGCTTCCCCCATCGCTGTCACTCTAACGGGGCCTCTCCTGTCACCTCCGTGTGCCAGGTCACGACTGGTGCGTCATCAGACTGGGGATACCAGGAATCATCCGGGGCTTCGACGTGGACCTTTCTTACTTCGAGGGAAGTCACGCTCCTCGAATGTCGATCCAAGCAGCAAACGTGGAAGAAGGTGCCAGAGGCAGCCCCGCCCCCCCGGGTGGGAACTGTGGGGTCCCACGGCCCGCCTGCTCTCAGTGAGACCCGCGCAGGCTCTGTGACTTTCCTGCGGCCATCTGACCGTGACGGGGTTTTAGGACTAGGACTCCCAGTAGAGTGCTCTGTGATTTTTAGCGTAACAGTGCTTTTGGCCCAGTACAGATTTCATCGTTCCCACCCTCCTCGGGCCCCGCACAGAGGCACAGCCGTGTGTCCCGGGCATGTCTGGGGAGCAGGTGTCTGGGGAGCGTGGGCCGGGCCTGGGATGACCCCGTGATGCAGAGGCAGGCCTGGGCCAGCTGCGGGGCCGGTGCCACCAGTGGTGCTTCCCGCCCTCCTAGTGCGCGTGGCCACGCGGCTGCCGTGAGCTTTGCAGAAAGGGTTTCTTCCTATGGTGGAATACCAGGCCTTGTGAGTCACCCAGGCTCTGTTTTTATTCCTTTAATCAGCGTCATCGGATGTTGCCTTAGAATGAGTTTTTTTTTTTGACATGTGTGCAATTACGTATGTGCAGATGCATGTACTTGGGGCAAATTGGCACTGAAAGTGCTACGCGCACAGCTACGGGTGCGGCTCCCAAGGAGGGCTGGGCCCCCGAACAGTACACGATGTCACTTTGCAAGCAGGAATGACCAATGACAAATGGGTAGGATTATTTCGGCAAGCCCATCGACTGTCCTCGAGTGCTTCTCTGTGGCAGGCACCCTGGTGTCAACTCTGAGGACACCCCGGGGGGAGGCGGTGTTTCCGGGGTTGGCCTTGTCATGGTCCGACTTCATCGCTCCGGCGTTTGAAAACTCTAGCACTGCGAAAAATCTGCTGAAGTCTGACCTAACTTGGAAGTGACATTGACTGCTTTGACAAGCAGATGGTAGTATCAAATGGAGGACACTCCTTTTGAAATCTCTGTGTTAGCACATTGAATGTTGAGGAACCTCAACATATGTGTCTGCTGCTTTGATCATCTGGGACTCTGACCTAAGAAGTATCTTTAGGGCTATTTGGCAAAATGAGACGTACCGTAGAACCCACCAGGAGAGTCTATTCCCTCCGATGCTGAGCCCTAACGGTAATAATCGGGAATGGCCGTTCTCACTTCAGATCAACTACCGAAGATCCCAGAACGAGGAGGAGTCAGGACCGGAGCCTCGGCCACGCCCGAGGAGTTGGACGCCATTGCCGAGGTAGGTGCACCTGCACCAGGTGAAGTGGGGCTCGCCACTGGTTAGCAGGACAGAGAGGAACCCCGGCTCTGCTGGGTGATCCTGTGAGACACTGAGCCCCGGTGTAGCTCACCACATTCCCGACCCACTGTGACCTTGCAAATGCGTCACGAGTGGTTCGTTCCCCTCCGCTCGAGGGGCGCCGTGGCCCTGGGAGACCCCGTGTCACTGGCCCCTGGTCAGGCACACCTGGAAATGGACAGTAAACGTTTAAATACTTTTTATTGTATTGTATTGTATTGTATTGTATTGTATTGTATTGTATTGTATTGTATTTTTGAGACAGAGTCTCACTCTGTCGCCCAGGCTAGAGTGCCTCGTGGCATCAGCCTCACTCACAGCAACCTCCAACTCCTGGGCTCAAGCAATCCTCCTGCCTCAGCCTCCTGAGTAGCTGGGACTACAGGCATGCGCCACCATGCCCAGCTAATTTTTTCTATATATTTTTAGTTGACCAATTAATGTCTTTCTATTTATAGTAGAGACGGGGTCTCGCTCTTGCTCAGTCTGTTTTTGAACTCCTGACCTTGAGCGATCCTCCCGCCTCGGCCTCCCAGAGCGCTAGGATTCCAGGCGTGAGCCACCGCGCCCGGCCTAAATACTCTTTATAGCAAGTTGACAAAGTTAACTTCTGTGTCCGACGAGTTTAATAAAATAAACGGTTGGGGCTTGTATTTGGGTACCATGTTGTTTTCTAAACCTTATTGGTATAACAGTTTGTACTGTGTTTTATAAAAGTCTTGCTCCATGATAGACAAGGACATGGACATTGTAAGGGGCCTTTCAGCTGGGGAGCGGAAATCCAGGGAAAAGCACTGCAGGGTCCCGGCCAGCCCAGACCCCCGCCCCGTGGGAACAGCCTCGGCGTTTGCTTGGACGTTCAGGTCGCCCTCTGGCTCCTGGGAGCCCTCCAGGGAGGTTGTGGAAGGGTCCAAGACCTTCCCTCACTCACAAGCCCCCGCCACCATCTCCCACTGGCTGTTTTGATCCATGTGGAGACCCCTCCCCGGACCTTATTCTGTTTATTATTAAACCAGGGCTAGATCTTTCCTATTTTTGTTAAGGAGTGTTCCGTGAGGCACCCGCCGTGCGTTGTATTCCAGAGCATCTCCAGCCCTTCAGCCCCACAGACGCACTAGGACTAGGAGAGAATTTACTGTTCTCACGAGCCACCGCTAACATTTTCCTATCTACCGACAGCTAAAATCCAACGGCTGGAATTACTTGGTCCCCATGACAGAGCTTAAGCCAGGAAAACCTGCTGAGAGCCACAACTATTTTCTCGTCAATTCTCCGCAGAGGTGGACTCACATCAGACTCAACATTTTCCCAGGTACCCACGCGACGCGGACCCGCCTCCGGTTCTACGGCCCCTTTGCTATGCTGGCCTGTTCACAAAGTGTCATGCGAACCGCCCTTTCCTTCTCGGTAACTGATCCCTCTCGCATTTTAGGGTTATGATTTGCCCCTTTGCACCCTAGCAAATTCTTGTTTTAATCTGCCCAGTAATAGGCAGCTATGGAGCAGCTATCGAGTAGATCAGGATGTGCAGGAACTGGGTTGCGTTAGGTCAGACATGTCCCAACAAGTTCTATTGCCCAGGTGGCTTACACAGCCGTTGAAGCAGCATGTACAAATGACTCTCGCTTCATTTAATTTTTTGTTGTGGCAGCTTTGTTTGTAATAGAATTCACATAACATGAAAACCACCCATTGGAAGTAAGTGTGCAGTCGATGGTTTATAGTCTATGCACTGAAATGTGCAGCCACCACCGCGATTTTAAAGCATTTTTATCACCTCCCAAAGAAACGCCAGCTCCTTTATTTAGCTATCACCACTCATCTCCCCTGGCCCTAAGCAACCGCTGGTTTACTTTGACTTGATAGATTTGATTATTTGGACATTTCACAGTGAGTGGAATCCCATAATGTTGGTCTGTTGTGTCTGCCATCTTTCACTCAGCATCCATCTACATCATAGCATGTGTCTTTGCTTCCTTTTCATGCTTGCATAATATTCCATTGTGTGTTTAAACATGCTGAGCATCCCAGATCTGAAAGCCCGAAATCCAAGATGCTCCCAACTCTGAAATGTTTTGAGTGCCAACGTAACACTCAAAGGAAATGCTCATTGGAACATTTTGGATTTGGGATGTTCTACTCATAGTGCAAATATTCCAAAATCTGAAGAATTCCCAAATCTGGAACACTTCTGGTCCCAGGTATTTTGGACAACAGATCCTCAAGCTGTATCACATAACGTTCACCCACCTGTCAGCTTGTGGACATTTGTTGGCTCTTACGAATAATGCCCCTGTAAGCCTTTGTGTACATATTTTTGTGCTGTCATGTATTTTCATTTGCTTTGAGTTTATATCTAAGACTGGAATTGCTGGTTCATATGGTAACTCTACCTTTAATTGTTTGGGGAACTGCTAGGCTTTTCCAAAACGGCTGCACCATTTTATGTTCTCCCGGCCAGAGATGAGGATTCTGATTTCCCCACATCCAGCAGGTGCTAACTTCGTGTTTAGAGTCATCCTACAGGATGTGAAGTGACTTGCATTTCCTTGGTGACTGATGATGAACATCTTTTTATGTGCTGACTGGCCATTTGTATAATACTTTATTTTTTTAAGAAAAATGTCTCTTTAAATATCTATTCACTTGTTTTTTATTATTGAGTCACATGAGTTCCTAATTATATATTCCACATACAAGTCCCTTATCAGGCACAAGATTTGCAAATATTTTTCTCCCATTTTTGTAGACTGTCTTTTCACTTTCTCAATAGTATCTTTTGAAGCACACCAATTTTTGATTTTGATAAAGTTCAATGTAACTCTTTTTTTCTTTGTTGTTTGTGCGTTTGGAGTCATAGCTAAGAAATCACTGTCAAATCTGAGGTCATGAATAATTACTCTTATGTTTTTTCTTCTAAGTGATTTGTAGATTTACATCTTTGATTAATGATGTGAGACCATTCACATCTTAGATTTATCTATTTGATAAATTTTGAGTTAGTTTTTGCAGATGATGTGAAGTAAAGATTCAATTTCATTCTTCTGCTTGTGGATAGCAGTTGTTCAAGATCCCTTTGTTGAAAATACCCTTCTTTCCCAGCTGACTGACTTTGGAACCCTTGTCTAGAATTAGTTGACCATAGACACATGGGTTTATTGCTGGACTGTCAATTCTGTTCTATTGGTCTATTTATCTATCCTATGCCAGTATCACACTGTTTTGGTCAGTGCTGCTTTGTAGTAAGTTTTGAAATTGGAAAGCATGAGTTTTCTAAATTTGTTCTTTTCCAAGATTGTTTTGGTTTTTTGGAGTCCTTTCACAATTCCATACTTTAGAATCAGCCTTTAAGTTTCTACAAAGAAACCAGTTGGGATTTTGACAGAGATTGTATTGAATCTGTAGATCAATTTGAGGAATATTCCCATCTTAACAATAGTGACTCTTCCAATCCATAAACATGGGATGGTCTCCCATTTGTTTAGATCTCCTTTAATTTCTTTCGATAATTTTTTGTAGATTTCAGAGTTTAAGTTTTGCACTTCTTTTATTAAATTATTTCCTAAGTATTTTATTCTTTTTTGGGACTATTATAAATGGAATTGTTTTCTTAACTTCATATTTGGATTGTTCATTATAAGTATACAGAAATACAATTGATTTTTAAATGTTGATCTTGTATCCTATAACCTTGCTGAACTTGTTTATGAAGACTAATGGTTTTCTAGTGGAATACTTGGGCTTTCCTCTATATAAGCTCATGTCATTTGCAAATAGAGATAGTTTACCTCTTCCTTCCCAGTCTGGATGCCATTTTTCTCTCACTGCCCCACCCTCACCGTTTCTCCCCTAATTGCCTGAATTAAAATCTCTATTGCAATGTTGAATAAAAGTGTCATAAGCTGAAGTCCTTGTCTGATGCCTAATTTGAGGGGGAAACCATTCAGTTTTTCTCCATTTAAGTATTATGTTACCTGTGGGTTTTTCATAGATGCTCTTTATCAAGTTATGAAAGTTTTCTATATTCCCAGTTTGTTGAGTGTTTTCATTATGAAAGGGTGTTGGATTTCATCTGTTGCTTTTTCTATATCTGTTGAGATGATCATGTGGGTTTTGTCTTTTATTCTTTTGATATGGTGTGTTACATTGATTGACTTTTCCAATGTTAAACCAACCTGCATTCCTGGGATAAAGCCCACTTTGTCATGGTACAATGTTTAAATGTGTTCCTGTATTTGGTTTGCTGGTGCTTTGCAGAGGATTTTCGTGTCCATATTCACAAGAGATTGTGGACTGTAGTTTTCTCGTGATGTCTTTGTCTGGTTTGGGCATCTAGGGTAGTATTGTCCTCTTGGAATGAGTTGGGATGTGTTCCCTACTCTTCTATTTTTTGAAAGAGTTTATGAAAAATTGGTATTTAAGTTTTTTGTTTGCGAATTCAATCTATGTGCTTGATATAGGTCTACCCAGGTTGTTTCTTAAGTCATTTTCAGTAGTTTGTATCTTCTAGGAATTTGTTCATTTCATCCAAGTTATGTAATTTATTAGCATACAATAAATTATAGTTGTTCACATTGTTCTTTTATAATCCTTTTTACTTCTGTAAGGTCAGTAGTAATGTCTCCTCTTTTAATTTCTGATGTTAGTAACTTGAGTCTTCTCTTTCTTTTCCCCCTTGGGTCAGTCTAGCTAAATGTTCATCAGTTTTGTTAATCTTTCAAAGAAGCAGCTTTAGGTTTCATTGATTTTCTGTATTTCATTTATTTCCACTCTAATCTCTATTATTTCCTTCCTTCTACTTACTATAAGTTTAGTTTGCTTTTTTCCCTCGTATCGTATGGTGGTGGAAAGTTCTTCTTTTAATATGGACTTTTATAGCTATAAATTTCCCTTTAAGCACTGCTTACTGCTTCCTATAAGTTTCGGTATGTTGTATAAACATTTTAACTCATTGCAAAATATTTTCTATTTTAAATTTTGATTTCTCCTTTGACCCAATAGCTCTTTAGCAGTCTGTTGTTTAATCTTCACCTATTTGCGAATTCCCAAGATTTCTTTCTCTTACTGATTTTGATTCCATTGTGATTGGAGAACCTATATTGTGTTATTTCAATCTTTTGGTTGTATGGCCTCATATTTGCTATATCCTGGGGAATGTTTCATGCACAATGAGGTGTAGTTGGTTTAGAGTGTTGTTTTAAAATTCTGAATTTTTCTGATGCATACTTATATGTTAGTTGTTTATTCATAAACAAGAAGTGAGATATTTACGTCTTCATCATTATTGTTAGCTTGTCTATTTCTGCACTGTTCATTTTCCTGTCATCTTTTCTTTATGTATTCTGGTTGATCTATTTACTGAAGCATAGATGTTTAAAGTACTGATATCTTCGGCCTGATGGGTGGACAATTTATAATTATCAATTCCCTCTTAATCTCTGAAAAACTTTTTTTTTGTTGTTTTAAAGTCTACTTTATAAGTGTGCTCTGGTAGAAGCCATTCCAGCTTTCTTGCAGATGTTTTTGCATGAGTTAATTTCCTTCCTATTTATCTTTCAATATTTTTTGTATCCTTGGATAATGTGTTCGCTGTAGACAGCGATGTAGTGGATTGATGACAATCTGCATGATGTAAGCTATCTATAATTTTTTTTTTTTTTTGAGATAGAGTCTCACGCTTGTTTGTCTGTGCTAGAGTCAATGGCAATCCAGCCTAGCCTCACAGCACATCAGACTCCTGGGCTCAAGATGGATCCCTCCTGCCTCAGCCTCACAGAAGTAGCTGGACTCACAGGCATGTGCCACCATGCCCGGCTAATTTTATTTCTATCATGATATATAGTTGGCCAGTTAATTTATTTCTCATTCTATAGTAGGAAGACAAGATATAATAGCAATACATTAGATACAGGAAATATAGAGATCTCAAAGAACATCACTGACTCAAAAAGCAATTACCAGCAAAAGAGAAAACCAGACCATCAGGACTCAAACAAACGAACCAGAGAAGACTAGGAGTATACAGGACGAATGGAGCACCAGAGCCCTGCTGCACTTTAGTACATTATTATGCTCATATAGCCTTAATAATATGAAATAGACATAATTAAGAATTTAAACCATACACATAAATATATACAATATTATTGTAATATATATAATAATAGATAATAAAAAAAATGTAGGTGTTATTACATACTAATCCCTCCATATATATAAATCTCTCTTATTATGACATAATAAATAAATATTTAATCAAATAATCATTTTAATCTATATATAATAGATAATTTCACAATAATATATATAAAACCAAACAGATAATAAAATCTATTTATATAGAAAAAATAGATCCATAATAGTAGCTTCAATAGATTCATATATATCTATCCAATCATTGATATGCATAATCTCTGACATGTAACTGCTAAAGAAAATATCATATTAATAAAACATATACAATTATTAATATAATAAAAATATATGAATTGTATATTGAAAGGCCCGGAGAATAAAGGACAGATAAATAAATATAATATATTATATATCATGTATAATGAGATATATTTGTTATACTGACTTTTCTTATTTATAGTTTTCAGTTTTCTTCATTTGTTTCCAATGGATTTGAGCTTATCTTCTGGATTCCTGGCCCTTAGCACAATACAGCTTTTTCCCACCCTGTGTCCTTTGGCATTGTCACTGTCATATATGTTACATATAGATATGTTTCTGGTGTTTACAGGAGCAACAACAACCACATACATGTTGTTATATGTATTGTTTTTAAAGCACGTAAGAGAGGAGAGATAATGCACCTCGCTGCTCTTCCGAGATCCGGTAAGGGAGGAGAGGAACCAGGCACATGGGTAGGGGAAGGGTTGGTTTAAAGATGTCCTGGCCGGGCGAGTGGCTTCACGCCAGTAATCCTGCACTCTGGTGAGCCGAGGGCGGGCGGATTGCTCGAGGTCAGGAGTTCGAGACCAGCCTGAGCAAGAGCGAGACCCCGTCCTACTATAAATAGAAATAAATTAATTGGCCAACTAATATATAGAGAAAAATTAGCCAGGCATGGGCCATGCTGTGTAGTCCGCAGCTACTCGGGAGGCTGAGGCAGGAGGATCGCTTGAGCCCAGGAGTTTGAGGTTGCTGTGAGCGAGGCTGAGCCACCGGCACTCCACTCTAGCCTGGGCAACAAAGTGAGACTCTGTCTCAAAATAAATAAATAAATAAATAAAGGAGATGTCCTCAGAGGACAGAGAGGCATTTTGGGGATTCCTTGATAGTTTTGATTAAAAGTGAGTCTAGATATTAACTCTGTAAGGAAGAATCTTATTTTATTATTATTATTTTTTGAGACAGAGTCTCACTGTGTTGCCCGGGCTAGAGTGAGTGCCGTGGCACCAACCTAGCTCACAGCAACCTCAAACTCCTGGGCTCAAGCGATCCTCCTGCCTCAGCCTCCCGAGTAGCTGGAACTACAGGCATGGACCACCATGCCCGGATGATTTTTTCCATATATTTTTAGTTGGCCAATTAATTTCTTTCTATATTTAGTAGAGACGGGGTCTCGCTCTTGCTCAGGCTCCTCTCGAACTCCTGACCTTGAGAGATCCTCCCGCCTCGGCCTCCCAGAGTGCTAGAAGAATCTTATTTTTAAAAATGTAAGATCGGCTTTGTATTCAACCGATTAATATCTTCTATGCCACTAGAGCGAATGGTGACATTTGACGAGCCTGGACAGCAGTGGTGATTACTCTCACAGGCTAGCTCTCGCTGCACTTCCTGCGGTATATTTTCTAGCGTTTTGCGCCACCGGAGTCTGGTTTTACTTGTTGTAAACAGCAAGAGTTCTGCTGTTCTACAAACATTTTTTTCGGATGGCTCAGTTTTGTGAAATTTTTCATGTAAAAACACATAGGGCTTAGTTTTAGTAGAACACTCTGATTAGATGATTTTGACCCTCTATATTAAGAAATGCTTGGCTCCACCTTCTGGGAAGTAATATTCAAACAAATAAAGGATATTGCGTTCGTTAGAGTGAGTTGCTCTTGGTAGCTCCTTGCTGCTCTGCAGACCCGACTTCAGGCTGCTGTGGCTCCCAGCAGCCGTGCGACTCTGTGGGTATTATCTCCGGCACTCTCAGCTGCATCGCTGAGCAACGTGGCGTTGTAAAAATAAATAGGCAGGGCTCTGGTATGAGTCTGTGTGGGAGTCAGCAGTGCCCATTCCTGGCACGGAACATATCTATGGTGAATTTCCCAAATGCTTTGACCTCCTTGGAGTTGTCCATTCAATGCGGAAGCGCCGAGCATCTGCTGTGGGCCTGGACCTCTTCCAGGCAGGGAAGACACAAGAGGCGGAACAAGAGGCGGAACTGCCGGGCCTCCAAGGAGTTTATAGCCTCGGTCTGGGAGATTGGTCACAGCAAGGACTTAAACAATGGGGGGGGGGGGAAAGGGATAATTTCAGCCTGTGATTAGAGGTATGGAGTAGATAAGCAAGGGGATATGATAAACCTTAACCTGGGGAGTCAGGGTTGGGCCAGGTGGAGGGGGAAGGAGGTAACTTTAGAGGGCGAGAGAGAAGGCTTCTCTGAGGCTGTGACACTTAAGTTGAGACTTAAGAATGACCAGTAGTCTCTGGAGAGGTGGGACAGCTGTTCTGGGACAAGGTAACCACGCGTGCAAAGGCCCTGGGGCAGTGGGCTTGTTGTATTTGAGGAGCAGAAAGCAGGCAGGTGTGGCCCGAGCCTCCCTCGAGAGGAGACTGGAGAACACCAGAGGGCCCCGTAGGTTATGACACACGAATAGGCTACTCGTACAGAAAATAACTGAGCCCACTTCCCTTTTCAGACGGCGGAATTGCACGACTTAGAGCGTACGGCACTGGACAAAAAGACTGGACTGCAACTGACCCCAAAGACCCGGAAGACCTAGCGGCCATTGCTTACGGGGGTGTCTGTGTAGGGTTTAGCAACGCACACTTTGGGCACCCGAACAATATGATCGGTAAGATGGCGTTCTAGGAGCTGGTTATTTCGGAAGCCTGGATGCCAGCATTCGACACCCGAATGCGGGTCAGAATGATTCAACAGGGAAGGGACATTACAAAGCATGGGGGTAGAGGAAATTGACACGACGTCCATGTGTGTGATCTGATGCCTTTCTGACATGAAATAAGTCAACATTAGCAAGTTTTCTTCTACTTCTTCTCTAAGTAGTGTAGCAACCACTCGCTAAGTAGTTGCTATAAAAGGAAAAGTAAAGTTTACTAACCCTATGATCGTTTGGGAACTTACTGAAACATTAAGGAAAACAACGTGTGTAGCAATGCTTAAGTGCACAGGATCTGTAATTTAATTACCCCAGTGAATTTATTCTCACATCTAAAACAAAATCATGTGATTTACTGCTAACGTTATTTTCTGCAGGAGTCGGTGAGGCAAAGTCTATGGCAGACGGTTGGCGAACTGCAAGAAGGCTGGACAGGCCACCGATATTAGAAGTAAGAAGTTAAAAACAACTAAGGTTTCAAGTTTTTCTAAAAAGTATTTTTTTAAAGTTTTGTTTCCTGTTTTTCTACATCAAGGAAATTTTTGCTCATTCTAGAAACCTCCTACGCATTATTCTACGTGCTTATTACTGTTCTCCACATTTTCCAAATTTCCTACTGTTTTTGTTATAAAATCAGGGCAAAGACCCACAAGGCCAGACGTGCTGGTCGCGGCCAGCTACTCCCGTGTGTTTGCACGTCACTCTTTTTCTCCAGTGAACAAAGAAAAGGATCTTCCGTTTAATGATACAAAAGTTATGAATACATTTGTTGGTAGAGGAAAAACCCACTAGTTTAATAGTTTTTAATATCCGTACATCCCAGGATGAGACCACTTACGTGAACTTGTCACTGACAAGAGCCCCGGAGTCCCCACAGCTGTCTGCTGTGGCCAGTACTTAATTTGCGATGAGGGGCCGGGGCGCGGTGGCTCACGCCTGTAACCCTAGCACTCTGGGAGGCTGAGGCGGGCGGATTGCTCGAGGTCAGGAGTTCGAAACCAGCCTGAGCAAGAGGAGAGATAGGAAATTAAATTTCTTTTATTTATAGTAGAGACGGGTCTGCTCTTGCTCAGGCTGGTTTCGAACTCCTGACCTCGAGCAATCCGCGCCTCAGCCTCCCAGAGTGACTAGGGTTACAGGAGTGAGCCCACCGCAGCCCGAATTCCATCTTATATATAATTATTGAGAAATGTTAGTAAAAAAACTTGAAGTCTTCTCTTTTCTTTTCCATGGGTCAGTCTAGCGTATGTGATATCAGTATTATAGATATATACTATAAACAGTCAAAGAAAGAGCTTTTAAGGATAATTCATTGTTTTCTGTAATTTCAATTTATTTCCACTCTAAATCTCTATTTATACTTCTTCTAATTGCTCATAAGATTGAGATTTGCTGTTTATAATCAACCAAATCGTATTATGGTGGATGGAAAGTTCTTCTATATATAATATGGAAGCTTGATATAGCTATAAATATATCCCATTTTTAGCACTGGCTTACGCTTCCCGCCTCAAGTTTCGGTATAATTGTATAAACCTATTTTACTCATGTGCAAAGTTATTTATCTAATTTAAATTTTGATTTGTCTATTGACCCATACCTTTAGCAGTACTGCTTGTTTAATTTTTCACCATATTTGGCGGAATTCCCAAGATTTCTTTCTCTTACCTGATTTTAGATTCCATGTCAGTGAGATTGGAACTATATATGTGTATATA